GAATGCCAACCAGTGCTAGGCTTCCAGCATGCAGAATAAATTAAGAAGGCTGTGTCATCTTGGAGCTCAAAATTTACTTTCCCACATATGGGGAGAATCTAGCCGAGAGGTTCTATTTGTTCCTTGGGTCTCTCCAGCTTAAAGATGAGCCTGACCCTTCTGTGCTGTCCCATTGTCACCTGGTACAGAACAAAGCCACTAACATCCTGCAGGGGCCTGAGACTTCCCAGTTTATTAACCAGAGCAGGAACTCAGGTCCCTACGCAGGATGCTTTGAGGAGTCACAGCTAAGCCAAGTATCTGGGCCCACTTCATAAAAGGGTCACATGCCAAATGGTGATGCCAACTTAGCCAGCCATCTTACCCTCCATATCTGATGCCCAGAAGTTCCGAGTGATTACCTGGCAGTTGCTCACACTACTTGACACCTACAGGGCTATTCTATATGAGCTTCATTGAAGAAGGTCTTTGTGGGTCTGGCATTGTGCTGGGGCCAGGTCACAGAGACCAAACGAATCCAGACCCTGTCCAGCAAATCTTAAAGAGAAAAACTTTTAAATCCAAAGATTCCCAGAGGAATCAGTCTATCCTTTTCATGTCTGAGATACAATGGAAAGGGTGGACTATAGAAATGAAATACTGAGAAAAGTTTGCACAGTTCAACTTTTATTAAAATTAAAGGATGAGAAATTAGAACAGGATTCCTGATAAAATAATACATTTGAGAAAATGTTCCTTCAGCTATCACTGTAACTGATCAAGCATGTGACAACTGTTCCTTTACAAGATGTACAGTCCCTAACATCCATGCATAAAACACCAGATCAAAGACCTTACCTGTGCAATATGTACTGGTGTCAGCGATCAAGTCTGACTGCCTATGACAACCACAAGGACAGAGCATCCACACAGACATACACATTCAATGTCTTGAGTTTTCTTTCAAAGCAACTATTTTACACATCATATAAAAATTAAAGAGAAAGTTCAGCAAGGATCCTTTATTGCCACTGAAAAGGGGGAAAGATAATTTATAATCTCATAACCAAAGGCAAAAACATAACACTAGGGCAATTTGTTTCTACAAATGCCACAGTCCTAGCATTCCTAACATGGCTGAGGCTGTATCCATGAGTCACTGAGTCCCATCACAAAAGTTGCACAGGGCCTATGAGGTTGTGATTATCCACTATGGAAGAAGTCTCTTCCATTCCCAAATGCTGGAAGTGCTGCCAGCTCTCCTGGTTGGTCAGTAGATACACAGCACAGCTAACATGAGGGGCGTAGGACTCTAAATAGTGCAAACACTTAAAAAAAAAAATACATTCTAACCTCCTTGCTTCTCCAGGCAAATGAGCCTTAAAAACTCTAGCTAACTACAATATGAATTTGCTTAACCTCCCAACTTGATCTGGCTAGGTGCAAACGGGGAGCATGGAGGCAATTTAAATGGCACCTGTCCCAACAACAATAAAAATAAGGATAAAAAAAAATTATGAGACTAATGGCTGATAAATACACAAAACAGAGCCTGGAGTGCAGATGCCTCTCAAAAAACAAGTTGTTAAGTGTAGCATGAGCATTTGCAAAGCACATGCTTAACACATTCTTAATGAGGATCATAAGGATTGATCCATCTTTACAAGTTCAGAGATAAGATGCTTCCAAAAGGGATGTCATCCACCACCAGCAAAGGCCTCAAGCTATTGGAAGCTTTCGAAGAGGGGATAGAAGAGAATGAGGAGTGGTCTTCTGGACCTAGAAAATTCTAGGAGTCTGTGCTGGTGGGCAGGCCTTTCCCTGGGGTTTCTTCATGCCACAGTGTGCAAGGCTTAGCACCAGCCAGTGAGAGTCATCAGGAGATGGGCCAACCCACCCTCTCCCCTGCAGAAAGCAGACTCAAAAAAAATAGAGAGAGACAAGTAGTATGGATGGGTAAGCACTGAGTCAAGCATTTCAAGAAACAAGAAACACCAGTGACTGTTTTTAAATTCAGCTGTCTCCTGTGAATATAGTATAAAAAAGAAGACTCATCTACCTGGAGCTACTGAAAAATCTACTTTTGGAGGATGAGAAACAAAAGAGAGCTATAGGCATGAACTATGTTAGAGAATGAATGACATATAGAACATAACATCTCATTATCATGGACAATTAAAAGCAATTCAAATATCTTGAAAAATTATCTTATAAAAATATCTACATTAAAATTTTAGCCTAAAAGCTATAGTTTCAATTTTATAAAAAGGCAACCTTTGAAAGGCTCTGGCTCAGAAATATACAAACATTACATAACAGATATCAAAGTAAGACAGCTCAAAAGCATCTTGGGGGATATTGCAACTGGCTTGTCATGAAATAGAATTAAGTATTCTTATTGCATAGCAGAAAATGAGGTCACTTCATTTGCATAATACTGCAACTTTTTAGATTGAGAGATGCCATTGGGTACTTATGAGAAATAACTTTGGAATTCAGAATCTGACTTCTGTGTTGTCCAAATCAGTATCCAAGTGGCGTTTAAGCTGCTTCTAACCTTGGGCCTCAATTCCATTTCACCACTGCAATCAGATTACAGATATGCCACTGGCAAAGCTGCATTCACAAGCAGTAGTGGCTACCCTATGGGGGCGGGAGGAGGTTTCACCTACTAGGTGACCAGCACAAAAGTGAAAATAAGCCTGGTGTGTCTACTGAGGAGAGAGAATCGTACCTAAAGAGATGGCATCTGTTGGCAACTAGAGCAGATTGGCTTTGGTGATGATGTACCAGTGTTCTAGTCCCCCTGAGAAAGGACACACGAGGATGAAATGAACATGGCCTCAGCAGCACCACCAGCAGAGGCAGTGCTTCCTAGGAAGGGAGATATGAGGTGGAACCAATAGCAAAAGTCCAAAAGCAGAAAACATGGCTGGCTAGCTTTCAGGAGAGGGAGCCTTTCTGGGAAGATGATACATAAAAATTAGTCTCCCCCACATAAGCATGGAAGTCCAGCTTCCTAGTGGTGGGAGAGGGCAACAGACTTGACCAACATCACAAATACCTGAAATTGAGAGCCTGTGTGAACAGCATACATCCAGTCCCAAATCCAATCTCATCCCACCTCACATACCCCCAAACAAATCTCAAAACTTCATCTGAGAGGGAAAAAGGATATTTGGAACAAAAATATTATTCCATCAACTTCCAACCCAGAGCAGGGCGGAGCTCTGAAAGGGGAGTCACCCCCACTGCCAAGTGGGATGGAGCATGTAACTTAAAGCACACCTCCATTCCTCTGGATACATTTCTTCCAGGTCCACCAAAGCTATATATTTTAGCCTTTTCCCAAAGTTTCTAAAAATTCTGGGCACCTTTTTGCTCTTCAGATGTCTTATTAAAGTAACATCTGCTTAACATTGGAAAGAGAAGTTTTGCCTTCAGGTAAGTTGCAAGTTTAGTACATAATATTTATATAGTAAATACACAAAATGGCCAACTAGCTGGGGAGACTCCAAGGTTTCTAACTGCAAGGATTAGGGATGCCAATCTCCTGCAGTATCTGCTCAGAAGTGTCCCAGATGTATCTGAAGTCCAGTATCAGGGTTTATAAAGCTCTTTGGCTTCCCATGGGTAGACTTTGACATCAGGAAGATTAAACCCCCAGCTGACAAGTTATGAGACTGTTCTTCAGACATAAGACTTTGTCTCCTATGCTGGAAATTCCAGCATAAGCAATTTGCTAGGTTAGGAAAACATTACAGCTTTAAGGTTCTTTTTTTTTTTTTTTGTAGTGCAAATGACTCCATGCACCCTCAAATACCTACCCCTTGGTACTTAAAGTTCTATTATTAATAATTTTTGCCTGTGATTTAGCAGAGTTCTCATCAAGCTCTTCTTCTAAAATACAAGTACCCCTTGGGAGAGATTTCAAATCTGGGTCCCCTGCTATCTCCTAAGCCACAGGGAAAGTGGGGATCCTGAGGACTGGGAGAGGGTATGGACCCTGGAATGGGAGAAAAAACATAAGAAGGAACACAAGGACATCAGACAGACTTGACCAACATCACAAAGTGCCAAGGGCCAGTCCCAACCAGTGTATTCCTTTAAAGTCATCCACATCCTTCCGAATCATACACAATCCCATCCAACACAGGGACAAACCTATCTTTGGGTTTGGAAGGAAGGTGACCTTTTATTTATACTCCAAACCAGAACACTCTTAAGAGTAAAATGGGGCACTGTGAATAATTAGGACCCAGTAATACTTATAAGCAGGGACTGTCCTGTCTTGGGAAAACCTGGAAGTTGGATCCTTCTCTGAGACCATCATGGGCAGGGACTTGAATCCTTACCACTTTAGGTTTTTTTCTTGTGTATTTTTTTTTTCCAGTGTGTTACCTGGGACTATTTTCCCATCTAAAAAGACACAAAATCTCCCAAACCTGGAATCCATGACATCAGAAAGCAGGAGCCCAGAACTGAAGACCAGGCAGTTCTCATCTGCTTCCTGGAGGAGAGCCCAGGGAAAAATAGCCAGCTGAGGAGCACAGGGAACCCTCTGTCCCCTCGTCCAGGACATGGACAACATGCTGGAGCTTCAGGAAGGCCCCAGCTCTTCTGCAGAGTTACAGTAGTCAAGTCAAGTGAGAAGGCCTGGGTAAATGAACTGCTCTTCTCATCGGATATTTCTGGACATTCTCAGATCATCTAGCTGGACCTTCAGAAGACAGCAGCTTTAGTAGTCTCAGGGTCCCCATGGGACAAATCCAGAAGAGATGCTTTTGTGATTTGATTTTTAGCATAGTGAAAGAATCAGTAGTAAAGAAATCCAGTGGGCTGTTACATGCTTCACCCTGAACGTAGTGAAACATGTTCTACACATACACACACACACACACACACACACACACACGTTCCAGGTTCTCTGTTGTCCCTATAGAAACACCAAAACAGCCCAAAGGTGTTGCTTGGAGTTATTAAGAACTCCACTGCTCAGGGAAGAGGCCAGAGCACCTCAGGGGAGCAGGGGGGAGGGTCACCAGCAGCCACCAATGTCCACACTGTGACAGTCCACACTGTGACCATTCTGCAAAGTCAGAGGAGAGTGGCTCTCGTACCACCACAGACTTCCCAGGGCGAGATGAATCCAGCCACTGAGGTCCCACTGTTCTGAGTCACAGGCAGTACCTGCTCCTTCCTCCACCTCCTGGCCACGGGAGTTTAGGTCACAAGGACTTATGAATCACAGCAACACCTACAAGGAAATGGGGAGAAAGTTATCATCTTAGCCTGTGCAAAGTCATTCAGAGTGCCACCCAATGAGTTCACAAATCCAAGACCTCTCCAGTCATAGCCAAGAGAAATGGGTACAATTTTTATCCAAATATTGAAGAGTCTGTGGACTTGGGTTGCTAGAAACAGGTCATTTCCACTTCTAATAGCCAAGTCCTGGCAAGATATTTGAACCCACAAGTACAGTCAGTCCCTCAACCATCACAGCTTAGTGGTCTCATCTCACGTCCTCACAGATTCACTGTATGACTCTCACCTGCAGCAGCCAGCTCAACAATGCTCAGCACCCTCACTGGAAGCCCAGAGGCAGCTACACAACTCTAAATTTGTATCACTTTAAGAGAAGTGATCAATGATTTATATCCACTTTTATAAGACACTGAAACAAACTGGAAAGAATAGTATTCTGACTTCATGGAAGAAAGAAAAGTTGAATTCCAATTCAAGCTCTGCTATCAGACAACCTGCACTGTGGCCTTAGGCAAAGTCATTGACTCTTAAGCTCAGTTCTTATAACATTTAATGTCATCTGACTGAGGGACCCTTCCAGTGCTAAATTCTCTACTTAGATAAACACATCAAGTATGTATGTATGTGTCACTTACTGTTTTAGTCAAGTTGAATTGTGCTCAGCACCTAATTTTGCAAATGCATGTATGGCTCAAAATTTCACTGTAATGGACTGAGGCTGTGTGACAGCTACTATTGAAAGGATGTTTCAGTCAACTAAATCATCCTTTCTACCTGCTGTCCTCCACCACATATACCATCAAGTACAAGCTCAGCTTCCCAGACTACCTTGCAGCTAGAGTCCCATGTGACTCTGGCCATTGGACTATAAATGCAGGTTTGCCAGTGCTGCAATGACAGCTTTGTCCTTGTCCTGACTAAAAGGCTCAGGCAAGGCCCAAGAAGCAGCAGCTGCTATTGATAAAGCTGGGAGAACAGAAAAGAAAGGAGAAGCCCTGGTTCTTCCACAACAGTCTGAACCCCCAGGCCAATCCTGGACTTTCTTTCTACCTGAGATAAATACATTCTTTTCCTTACTTAAGCAAGTATCTGTCAGGTTTTTCTGGTATCTGCTGCAGGACAAAATCCTAACTTGCAGGGTGCCTACAGAAGTCTTATTTTAACACATTCTTACAACTATAAAATGTTTGGTTGAAGATATGACTGAGAGTACATTGCTAAAAGGAAGCCCAATTCACTCCATTGGAGAGATTCTGATAAGATATCTATTTCCTGTCAATTCCTGGATAAAGGTACAGAGGTTGGAGGCACCTGAGTCCAGACTAGAAATGCTGCCTGACCTTGACCACATCTCACTTGTACCTCAAGCATCTCTTTCACAAGAGGTGCTTGTTAAAAAAAAAAAAAAAAAAAAGCAAGTCCTTATGTTGCTTTTTTATAGAAACTTTCTCATTTGATTATAAAAGTAATGTATTTTCATCATGGAAAATTTAGAAAATGCAGAAGAACACAAAGAAAAATTCTTTAAGCCCTTCATGCAAAGAGAACCACCATTATCCTTCTGGAATACTTTCTGGCATCTAATAATAATCATAATCATTTACTGGATGGTGTTCAGTCTCAGGCAGGTGTTGTGCTAAGCTCCTTATATTACTGAATTTCATTCTTACAACAGCCACAAGAGGCTCTAATTTTATTCCCATTTTACAAATGAGACAACAGAGGTTCAGATAGAATACCTGGCCCAGAGACCCAGGTCTGTGGCAGAACTGGGATTCAGATTCATATCTGACTCCAATACCCATTTCTAGAAGCAGAAAACTATTCAACACACACCCCATGAAAGGACCGTATGTCACATAGTACAGACAACTTTGCATCCTCTTTTTTCAACCCAATAGTTTGTTGTAAACATTTTCTTGGGACATTTAAAATACATCTACTATATAAATATTTCATAGATTATTTCCCTCATGTCAGATACTAAGTAATTCTTAGTTTTTTGCTATTAGAAGCAATGCTCCAATAAATACCTTTGTCCATAAATCCTTGCATTTTGGAGCATTTCCTTAGATTTTAAGATTAATAGACTCAGTCAACGCATCTGAACACAAAATTGCACATTTGCTTGTCTCCTTCCCACCTGCTTCTGGAGTAGACAATGAAGAAAGGGACATGAAATATTCAGTACACACATATTCTAAATGCTCACACTTAACTTTTAGAGCAAAATTCTAAATGCTCACACTTAACTTTTCCCCTCTCACAAAGGCACAAGAGGAACCAAGGACAGATTCCTCACCTGCCTCACTGCCTCGTCCTAGAAGACACCCTGGTCTTTCCTACAGCTTCAAAAAAGAGATGACTGTTCTGGTCTTAATAATAAACTATGAGAAAAGAATCACCTTACAATCAAAATGCTTCTAAAATCTTTTATATTTATCCAAGAAAAATGTGACAGATCAAAAGAGAAAACCTAAAGAAGGGAAAAAGTAAAAGAAGTTCATTGCAATCGAAGCCTTATGTTGAGAGAAAGTGACACAGCCCCCTGTGAGCCTGCACAGCACAATCTTCCTTTGCATTAAAAACCAAACAAGATGGAATGACTGACCTTTCTAATGTGAAATATGAATAAGAAGAAACCACTGAAGTTGTGGTGTGGATTAAATGAGATAATGATTGTAAAATCCTTAGGATAATTCCTGTCACGTTGGTGTGTGCTCAGTAAATGAATGTTAACTCTAACTATTCTGGTTTCTGAAAAAACAGCTACAAGGAGCTGGGTGAGCTATATCATGGATCTGTATTTGCTGGCCTTAGAACCGCCCACTCTGATGCCGCCCCTTCTCCTGTACCTCACCAAACCTCTCACATATACTCCCCAAGAAGAAGACATACACCAGCCTTACACCTTACTCCTCCCTCCACTGCTCCTGAGCTGGGGTAGCACAAGGGCAAGGGCTTAGAAGTGAGACCTGAGTTTGAAATCTGAATTCACCATTTATTACCTGTGTAGCCTTTGGCAAGTTACTTAAACTTTCCAAACTTCAGTTTCATCATAAATAGTTCTATTCAGCCTGAGAGTTTTTGAAAAGAAGAGCGTGAATGCCTATACTGCACCCAACACATTGCCCCATGGCAGAGAGGGGGGCACCCAGCAAAGGACAGCTATTCATGTGACTGTGATCCACCCACAAAGTTTACACAAACCCCCTTCCCTGACTCTGCCACTTCCCTCTGGTCTGTCATCTAGTACAGCCTACCTAGTGCATGTTATTTAGAACTCATATGTGTATAATCTTATATTTCTCTGTTTTGGTGTAGGCAAGTCTAATCTTTTTTACTCAATTTCTGGATATCAAGAACTGGTTTTTTTTTGTTTTGTTTTGTTTTTTTTGAGACAGAGCCTCAAGCTGTTGCCCTGGGTAGAGTGTTGTGGCATCACAGCTCACAGCAACCTCCAATTCCTGGGCTCAAGCGATTCTCCTGCCTCTGCCTCCCAAGTAGCTGGGACTATAGGCGCCTGCCACAATGCCTGGCTATTTATTGGCTGTAGCCATCATTGTTGTTTGGTGGGCCCAGGCTGGATTCGAACCTGCCAGCTCAGGTGTATGTGGCTGGCGCCTTAGCTGCTTGAGCCACACGCCCCAAGCCCAAGAACTGTTTGTTATGCCACCTAGAAGCCTGGCATAAAATAAACCAGGAATGGCAATGAAATTCTAAAATCTCTTGTGACAACCCTGATCAGCTGGAAGTGGTTCCCTCAAACACTGCATTAAGAATTCCGAGGAGACTTTACCTCCTTCATGTTTACATGGATGGAGCTGGAAAATGTTCTTCTTAGCAAAGTATCTCAAGAATGGAAGAAAAGGTATCCAATGTACTCAGCCCTATTATAAAACTAGTTTATAGCTTTCATACGAAAGCTATGACCTAATTATAGTTTAAGAATAGGGGG